CCACTGAAGCGGTATCTAGCAATGTTAATGTTTGACTTCAATCGATTCATAATCTTGCACAACCTTTCGTCCATTGTTTGAAGTGGATAACTGTTTCACACCCGACTACTGGTCAGGGCTTTTCACTAGAACTCCACAAAATCCATCTTGAAGTTATTCACTAGTGAGCACATTATTATTACCATAGTAGGGATTTATGGAGATTGTAGTAATTTTAACAGTTGAATTCATTAGTCGATCTAAGCCATTTGTTTATCATTTAGACGTACTGTTGTTAAATTTCGTATGTATATATTAATGTTTATAGTAAAATAAGATTCTTAACTCAGACGATACACTGATAAAACCTAGTTTATGGTGATATCACAGTACACATTTTATTATAAACAAAACTTTAGTTATTGTTTATATATTATATACACATAATCAATGTGTTTCATGGTTTCTTTATCACTATGGTTTGGACATCAGAAGTTTATTTTATACATCTAAATATTTCCATACTATTATATTCAAACACTGGATACTTATACCACAGATAACTTTGGTTTATATATTGAAATGTATAATGTAAATTAAATGTATATTTTAGAGCACATCGTTATTATACTTTAAATCTATATTAGTGTGTCACATTATGATAATGATAATAATAATCACTACTAACATAATGATAACCACACTAATATTATACCTGAACCAACGTAGTCTGATGAGCAATTAAACACTAGGGCATATTTGGCATCTGTGTGCAACGTTAGCTAAGAAATCCAAGTACCACTATAAGTATTTTGATAAATCTGATCACAAGATTTGAACTTTCTAGACCTAGTTCATGCAACCGGTTCTCTTCACAACATTTTCACCAAGCTTTTTAAATGAGTTTATAATAAAAATTAGTGGAGTTGAAGAATTAGACAAACTATTCATGTATTTATTCCTGCTTATTTATTGATTTCCTCATTGATTAGTGTTATTTTGAATACCTACATTGAAAAGGGGATTATTTGCCTTCATAACAACTTATGTTGCCTATAGAAAAGAATGAGATTATCATATTACGTATCAACTATCTTTGAATACTTATGATAACTGGTATTATAACTGATGTTGTTACTAATTAGTGTTCCTAATATTATAAGAACATTGATCTTTCCTATATAATTAAAACTTCAGCCAATTGTGAGATAACAAGTATTTCTGAGTTTGGAATTGAAAAGTATAGGATATTATCATGTTTAAAAATGAGGTGTCACATTATTCACCTCCGAAATTTCCCTTTTAAGATCCTGTCGCATGAATGGCGCCAAGTGTATGAACTTCATAAACAAGGTGTTTTCTTAGAATTGTCACCAAGTAGTCTGAAAAATTTTATAATAAAATTTTACTGATGATATCGGTTCCTTAATCTTGTATTGAATTTTGGTTTTCACTTATTAACGAAAAATAGGTTGGCTTTAAGTATAAACATATCATTAAATTCCTGTTATAGATCACATAAGAATTTTTGTTGAAACTTTTACACTAAATAGTTATAATAGTATCTTTATAGTAGACAAAGACGTTTTAGCGGGCTTTGGCTCAGATTATCTGTATATAAAGAGTTGATAATGAAGCCTTATTAACTGATGGAGGATGTGGAAATGTGAGGAGAACTATGTATACAAAAAGAATTCTAAAAGCTTAAGATAAACCAGTTGGAAAACCAGGAGTGAAAATACCGAAATAATATAGAGCAAAATCAGACTACATCTGAACTTTAGGAGCATCTGATCGATACAGTAACGAGGAACTTTCAAATAAAATTTCAAATGTCATTTTATTATGTTTAACTAATGGAACATTCAGTTTCATTTCTGATCACTTGTTGATCTAAGTTCATAATGCTGAATGTTTGTGGTCAATCATTTTTAGTTGTATTTATCCAGCGACTATTTTCCAGTTTACGGCAATACATTACGTCCACATTACATTACATATGTCTGTTACTCCTGAAAAAGCTTTCAATTAACCTTTGTATTGCTGTCTCCACATTTATCCATTGTTTTTTAGCTTTACTTTCATTTCGGCAGCCACCAGGTGGTGATCTGAAACCATGTCAGCTCCTCTCCTGGTTTTCGCGTCCTCCACTTACCTGAAATTTTTAAAGGTGCAAATATGATCAGTTTGGTCCTGTGTAGTGTGATTAAGCGAGACACATATAAATAAATGTTTACATTTGTGTGGGAATATTGTGCCACCTATAACCATTCTGTTGAATGCACATAAATTTGCAAATCTGTCACCATTTTCGTTCGTTTCTCCAAGTCAATTCATGTTGTCCCATGATATCTTTATATCCGGTGTTGTCCACTCCGAACTCGGCATTTAAGTCTCCCATTAGGATGGTGAGTTCCTCTCCTAAGTACTCCTCTATGAGCGATTGCAGCCTCTCATAGAACTGATCATTATTATCGTCGTTGCTTTCATTGGTGGGTGGATAATACTGGATAACATTCATTGTGATTTCGTCTCTCTTTGTTTCAAAGGATGATTTGATGATCGTGGATTCGTGAGATTCCAATCCTATGTGTGCTTTGTGTGTCTCTCTGGACTGTATCAGAGCAACTCCCTAAATGTGTGGAGCATTTTCCTCCTCATGACCGGAGTACGGCGGCATCTCTACCGAACCTAACCTTTGCTGTCTAGTTGAGGTCTAATGAGCTTCTCTGATTCCGAGTACTGCCAATTAGTAGTTCATCATTTCTGTAACTATTTGATTAGTCATCCCAGTCTCCGGTATAGTCTGGAAATTCCATGTACCTTTATTAATTGTTGTGCTGGTTGTTAGAAGGGGCATTGATCTGGTGACTTCCGAAGTATCTCAGGATTCACCATGAGGCATCATAATTCTTCTGAATTAAGATCTTCGAACTGTCAGGGTTGAGTTTCAGTGGCTTTAATTGTTTATTTTGGTTCGCATATTTTAACGTTGTTGTTTTCTACGTGATATGGTTGCTGACCCCATCTTCAACCCACCCCCTTTACTCGGTCTTGAGACCGACGATGACTTTAGAATAGCTACAGGAGGAGTGACGGCAACTTGTTGCTCAGTGATATTTCAGTAGATGTTTAGTGGAATAAATATATTTCATTTATGTAGTTACATCCTTCTTTTATCCTGTTCTAAAGTATAAACGTACTTATTCGCTATTCGTTTACCAGCTTGACTAGTTATTTCCCCTTACTGTTATTGTGACAAATAAGAGTTATTGTTATTCGTTTATATAAGTACTTAGAAATGACATTAATATTTAATTTCATGAGTAATCAATTTTCTATACTGAACATCTTCTTAGAAATTTAATTCCTATCCAATAATTAAAGTCCCACTAAAACAAGCCGCGTACATTTTATCTAGTAATCTTTTTGTAAGCTTCGGTCTAGTCACAGTCAACTACTACCCCATTCGCCAAGTTTGTATACGACAGATGACAGTGAGATATGAAGAAAATACTCAATATATAGTTTGGGTGTCTATAACAAAAACACAATTTTATCTTTAATTTTAAACATGTTTTACATCACAAGTAGTGTAAATGGTTCTAAGCAATCTAGAAGAATGTGAGGTTATTTATCTATTTTTTAATGTTTAATATGTACGGTATCCATCATTTTCTGGCATTTCACTTTTCATTTAGTAGGTGAATGTTGCATATAAGAGTGTAATTTTTTCCGGAGATTTTATTTTCAGTATATTAAGTTATCGAGATCTATGTGGTGTGAACATATCAGTATAGCGTATCCCAACATGCCTGATACAAGGACAAATATTGAGAAACTTATAGCTCAAGATGATATCTTTAGTAAAAATTACACTCATATTCAGCACTCAACTACTAAACACACAAAAAATGTCCTAAAGTGCCCTACACCGCTCTTATTTAGCTCTGAAAAACGGATAGATAATCTCCTACGACAAAGATGAATCATTGACTTTTGTAATGAAAAACTCGAATAAATGCTCAACCAATACAACGAAAAGACGAAGTTTGAAAGAAGCATGTGATACGGTATAACACATTTTAAACAAAAGTGTTAAACCATTTCTGTCAAACATGAAAAGGTCAAACTGAAAACATTGACACGTAGCAACAACACCGATAATGGCATAAACCTTAATGTGGCTTCATTTCAGTCTATTCCAAAGGCAAAACCTTTACAGGACGGATGTGATAGTCTGTGGGATTGTAGACAGATCACATGTTGTCTCAAGGCCACATAGTAGGTGAGAGATTCAAAATGGACATGTTAATGTAAGATAATTGTTCATCCTACCATGATCACAGCTTACATATCTCTGTCTGGGTCAGTGAAGATACGTGTCTATGACGCATTAGTTATGAACATTGATTATGTTTTGGGTGTAAGGCTTTCTGCACATTTTGAATTTTGTACTATCACATAGCTAGTTATGCCAAACATTTGAAAAAATTTAATGTGGCTGAATCGAACTAAATAATCATACAAATATTTAAAATAGATATGAGAAAGAAGTGTTGTGATTTCTCAGTCTAATTTGATCACAAGTCAGGCTTCCTAGCGTTCGACTCAACAAGCTATGCGACATTAGACGATTGAAAATCTGCAGGCAGCTTTAATGTTAAAACAAAATCAAAGTGTTTATAGCTAATGGGTATATATATAGACAACTTAGCTATTAAATATATAAACCAAATTACAAAATTCGTTGATAAAGTAGTCCTGATAATAATCACATTAATATCAAGATTATTTAAAGTGTAAATCATCCGCTAATATTTGTGACATTCTATAACGCAACAACTTTCATATTGACTATACTGCTAAAGATGATACTTATGTTACATTTGTCTTATTAAATAATCAGATTATTGTTTATTATATCGTCTAGTATTTACATTATTTATCATTCTAATTCTTATCACCATCATTACTATCTTTCTTACTACATGAATAATAATTGATTGGCTTTTTTTCAGAATTCGTGAAGGTATATCTACTAAACAGTGAGTTGATTATTTAATGAATGTGTATGTATATATTAATATTTAATTCCAATTTATAAATGGTTTCATTGTAGAATAGTAATTATTATCACAAGGGTAATCACTGTTAATGTCTATTTGAAGATAATGTATAATGAGTAACAAGATGGAAATTTACAAAATAAACTTTATTTTGAAATATTATCATTGAAAATCCATGTACATCTATTGATAGTGCAATACAATTTCAAGGATCCTGTTTGTAGAAATGGTTTTCATTCCTGATATCATTTTTTAGTTGGTACATTGAGTCCATACAAAAAAAAACTCTAAGGCAGATGATATTCACGCATTATTTTCACCTTGTCTTAACTATGTCATACTGTAACAGTTCATAATAACTTTAGTTGTTTATCAATTTTTTGAAACGATTGTTCCTAATTTTCTGTTTGACCTTTAATTTTAATAGTTGAGATCATTCAAGTCAATTGAAGCTAGACTTTTAATTGACAGTGATTATACATAAATGTTGACAAATTTTACAAGTGTACGAAAAATTACAACTTATGATTATCATATAGTTGAGATCATGAGTCCGTTGAAGCTAGACCACCATGGGAAACCTGGAAGCACTGAACAGCCGTTTCGTCCTATTGCGAGACTCCTCAGTAGTGCGCATTCACTATCCCGTCTCGCGAGATTCGAACACAGAACCTACCAGTCTCGCGCGCGAGCACTTAACCGATAGACCACTGAGCTGGCCGGCATCCAACGGTGTTAATGTCTAACTTCAACCAATCCACGAAGTTGAGCAACCATTTCACCAATGTCTTCAGTGAGTTGATATTTTCCAACAGACCCCCTTATAATTAATACTTTGGCCAGTTTAATATACTTTCATAATTCATAAATGAATACATTACCCTTTGAAGGAAGCCTTTGGTTAAAAAATATTTAGGAAAATACTGATCGATCTCGTAATGAATAATTCATTAAATCATTTTATGTCATTAAAATAAGATGAAATTGTATCATAGTTTTCTTTCAGTTTTTTTCCTTATACTTTATTAGTTCGAAATAATCAATAAAAGTAGATGAAATAGAAATGACTGTCGTGTAGGGATAGTTTAAGACACAGATAACTAATATTCCAACTTGATTGCACCTATGTGTGATCAATCGATTTACATAGTGGGGCTTAGACAAAACAAACTTTTCCTTCACATAAATATGTACGAATATCTTATCATATGTAACAGTATTCACATAAGAATCTTTCTCTCCCACTGATCCCTACCTCACCACCTCCTAGTAATAATAACCCATTAAGTGATTTATAAAATAATAGTGAAAATTGAACAGGCAGATAAAATAAGTTGAGAAAATTCTAACCACAAAGCTTATTTATAATGAACTGTATTTGTTGTAATATGGTTTAAGCTAATATTCGCAAAACAGTGAAAACAAAATCTGACCGAACAAAGCTGAGAGACAAAGGTTTTATTGATTGTCGTCAGTTTTAATTTATGCATTTCGAAAAATGTCCTGCCATGGAAGAGATTAGACTAGTTCATAAACAAATGTATCGAAGTTTTTACTTCCTTCCTCTTTCTCCTCGCCTCTACGTTTATATAAACCATTCACGATGTGTTGAATGTATGTATTCATGTCAGTTTACCAATGCATGTTTTGGTATTATGAAATAATGTTGTGTATATTTAAATGTTTACCCTGTAATTACTTAGTTTACTTTCTGTATGAATAGATTTTGGCGTAAATATCAAATAAGTACCTTAGTTTAGTATCTTAAATTAGCTTCTTTAAACAACAGCTTCGTTTATCATCATATAGTAAGTTAATATTACATATGTCTGGTAGCTCTTTTTCAACATAAAAAATTGACAAATGATTTGAGAGAAAAACAAAACTCACAAGACCATAGACTCTTTCTTTCAAATGGATATAACCATAAAGTGACTATTCACAGTGAAACGATCAAAAAGCAAACTGATATGTAATCGATATTTATTCAAAGAGTTAAAATACCTTAAGTCTATGTTGTACCAAGTGAAACTAAACGGTAAATGGTTTCATAAAAGTCTAAAAAGTATAGTAACTAATAACCATAATGAGTTACGCGCGTTTGTTCAAATTCGATATTGGACAAAAGAAGTAATTTTACACAAATTTATAATGTTGAAAGTAATTCCGGACAAATGTTCCCAAATTTGTTCTGCGTGTGTGGTAGAATACTATAGAAGACGATTTTGTACAATGTATTGAGGGGATTGTTTTTGTATCGTCTAGTTGATAGATGATTAAATCCATAAATACAGTGTATTATTGGTGAGAGTCTATTCGCGCTAGAATTGTTTCAGTAAATATAAACGAAACGTCTTACAATCAGTGAGGAATGTTTAAAGACCAGAAGGAATTTGGACAAATTTTATTTACAAAACTGGTTTTTAAGATATTTACATGTCTATCAGCAGATAAGGGTAATTAATAAAAACTGACTCAAATATCGGAAGTCTGATTTGTAAACGGTAACCGGCTGCTACCAATAATGACCAAACCTTTTAAATCCTGGTTTGTATTTAGGGCCAACTTTTGTAATCAATAGGTTTGGTCTTTACTCATTTCAGTATGATCAGTTTCAGTAATATCTCTTTGAATATTAATGATGATTCCATACGTAATTAACTTACCTGGGTCATTGAATGGTGATTTCAGTTTCGATTATTGAGTTAGATTATTTAGCTGGACGATATAAACTTCCTATTCTAAACAAGCAGAAGAATTGTCTTTCCTAAAACTTGGAGATTTACAGAATGAATTAATTTTATTTTGGCAACCATTGACAAGTAGGAAGCACTGGAGGTCTGCCTAGGCCTAGTATGAAACTAGGTATCATTACCATATTTTGATTTGATAACTTTTTTGAATAAATTGAGCATTGGGTAGATTGTTATAAATAAACTAATATATTTATAATTAGTATGAAACTGTTCAGCAGCGCTCATCTATGACTTATACTAAGGATCAAACCCAGTGCTCTCAGGCCTTGCGGCAAAGTGATCAATTATTGTAAGAGATCCCAGAATGGTTCAATCTTCCTCTTTATAATCACCCTTCACTGTAAATTACCGAAATCGTCTCAATTTTCAGAAGTTATAATACTGTCTATCGTTGTTACTTGGAATACTCATTTTGTTGAAAAAAAGTTTTTGCTTGCTCCTATTCTGATATGATATGTACTTTCTAGTTGATAAATGATAAGAGCTATAGGAAATGCTTGAGCACAAATGATAATTTTTTATGGACCCTCTGTTTCATGCTGAAACTTGGAAATTTCAAACGACATATTATAATAGTTGAATAGTAAACATAAAGTATACCGTTATTTCATCTTTTGATTAATGTTTAATCTTATTTGTCCGTTGGTTAATTTAGTTCTACTTAGATTTATTTTATAAAAAGATTTGACTAATGATTTACGTTCATTCCTTAATTCCTGTTTTACTGGTTCTATTTTCATTCGATTTGTTACTTCTTTATCGTTATCATTATTAATATGTGTCCTAGTTCCTATTTGCCTGTAGGCATTTACAACTTTGTTATAATATCCCACAAGACGACTTCTTTCTATCTTTTCGAATTTCAACCCAAGGCCAAATTATGAAGGAATCTTTACGTTTTTCTTCCCAATAATTGAAATGACAAATGAGTCACTTTGAAGAATTTCAAATTTTTATATCGGTAGATATTTACTTATTGAACTGAAATTTTTTTAAATGTATAGCAATTTGTAGATAGTTTTCATCATGACTTAATATCAAGTGGAAATAAAAAAAGAACTTGATATCTGTTTTATGCTTCAATTTTGGATCTATATCGATTCACACGTTTCTTAGATCTCTCGGTGACCACAATCCTTTTAATAATAATAATAATTAATAATTAATGGCTTTATTCAATATTATAATCTGGTACAATATAGAATTCTCAGCACGAGTTATTTCAACAAGTTTTTTTTACCAAAAAAAAAACAAAACAAAAAAAACCCAGTAGCTACTGCGCCACCACAGGTCTTTTTATTGTTTGATCGATCCTGACGATAGATATTAAGATCATGTAATGATACTAGGCAATCATCCTGTAAGTCAGTCAACCAAGATTCTTGAATTGTGATGACACCACAATTACGATACATGTTTTGACTTAGCAGAAATTGGAGATTGTCCACCTTGTTAATTAGAGATCGACAGTTAGAGTTAAGCAGCTCGGGAATCGACATTTGATTAATGTTTATTCTCTCTAAAGCATATTGCCAAACACCACAATGTCTCTTATTGTACTTGTTTGTAATTTTTGCAACGAAAGGAAGTAAGCTTTTCATAAACGCGCCTGTATAGGTTATGCGATCAAGAGACATAATGATAGGTTAAAACCAATTTTTAAAAAAACCCAGATAACTTGTTGAAATATTTAGATGGCAGAAACAGGTAGCCCAGGGATTCAAGCAGGCCGCACTTTTAGACCATTAAGTAAGAACTCACTGATTAAGATCTCTAGTCGATTCTCAACAAATCGTGACGAATAATTACGTTATCAATCAGTAACTTTCAGATTCATAAATTTCTTGAATTCTTAAAGTAGGTGTTGAGTAGATCCAAATTAAGATTTTACAGTTGTTTGATTATCTTTTAATGGATCTACACCTAATCTTAATTAGGTATTGAAGTGATTTTAGAGAATTCTAGACAAGTAAAACGGTTACAAAACATTTTATTGATATTTTACATAGTGACATTACTCCTTGACACTCAGACTTTTCTGCAGTGATCCAGAGCAGTTTAATTTATTGATCTTCAATCATTTAACTCAGCAATACTTATTTTTCATCTTTTTCGGCAGTCTTGAAGAAGCCTATTGAAATTTATGACGTTTAGATCAAGAGTTAAATGATGGTACTAGATTTATTTACCTTTCTTAAATCTCAATCAGTTATTATTTTATAA